GACTGTCGAGGTCGATTAACTGTCGAGGTCGATTGACTGTCAAGGTTAATTGGCCATAGGGGTCGATTGACTGTAGAGGTCGATTGACTGTGCCGCTTGATGAGCATATATGGCATTTTGCTGTCCGTCGGGACCAGTATCGTCGACGTCTGCGTCATGGTTGAGTCCCAGGAAGAACATCCCCCATTTTCGAGGCCCGTGGTCCGCCGATTGCCGGATCGCCGAGTACAGGAGCTTATTCTGGCTGACATCGTCGACTGATCTTCGATGGCTTAAGTACCGCGCGCTAAGATCCGTCGCTTGTCCGGTATAAAGGCCGCAGTAGTCTCGGTCCGTCGGGTCCGTCACGGTGATTATATACCAGCCTGGTGCTTTGATATCTTTGGCTGGGGGGAGCTTCTCGAAGGGACCGGAGTCACGAATAGCCGTGGTATCGGAAAACAGAGTGCATGCAAGGTTGCATTCGAGTTGAATTTGATTCCAGAAATCATTGACGGTATTATATCGGAGCTGGTCGATATACTTTTCGCGCAATTTTCCTGTTACAATCTTTTCGCGGACCGCGCCGGCGACATCCTTTAAATATGTAGTCGAATAAACGGTTGAAGAAGGAATGGGAGGGAGTTGTGGCTCGTCGTCGAAAAGAAAGGGAAAGCATTCACCGTAGGTGAGCTCTGGTTCTTGGTGCTCCGTAGTGACGCTCGATTGTCTCGAAAGCACAGCTGGATGTGTGACACCGAAGAGACGGCAGGATGTGACGCCAGTGAGAGATAAAACACGGGGAGGAAAACTCGCCTCGATGCAGGTGGGAGGTCACAGTGGTGTTCTCGTGACAACTGGGTCAGGTTTGGAAGGTGCACGAAGACCTGGACCCATCGTGCCTTCCCTGTGCCCCTGACCGTGCTGGCAGGAACGGTGCCTTCCCTCACGCCCCTGACCATGACCACGTACAGTCAATCGAGCGGTGTATTTGATCGACCGGTACAGTCAATCGACCACCAAAGTCATTTAAGGGGTCTTCAACATATCAAATTGAGCAGTCACGGACCCGACTACCCCAGACTTCTTCATGCTCTACGTCGGACAAGCACGCGACCTCAACGCGCGGTTCAAGGGCCATCGAACGTCCGTTGCCAACGGGGACAACAAGCTTTTATACTCGCAGATCCGACCATCCGAAAGTCGCGGGACCCGAGAATGGAAAACGCAACTCCTGGGAGTCACGGACAAAAGCATCGACGATATGTGCCTGAATTTGGTCGAACAATTCTGGGCCGTGGCGCTTCAGGCACTCCAGCCATCCATTCTACTTTCATGGCTTCCAAGGATATACGGCGAAAATTCCAAGATAGCCGCAGCAGCGAGCCTCAACGTCGCCATTCCCCTACGACAGGGGTCGAACAAGGACCTGGGCATCGGAATCGCTTCCCTTTTTAAATCAACGAACAACAAGGTCCGCCAGTACGCCAAAGACATCGTCACCGTAGCAGGGGCGAAGGGAAACGAAACAAGCCAAGCTCGCCGTCATGCCGGCACCAGAGTAGCCGCCCGACAGAGTAAAAGGTCCAAAGTCGGAGTGTATACCCGTCCTTCGACCCCCTCCGACCCAGACAGTCCATTGACCGGCGGTGCAGTCAATCGACCCGGTGTCGTGCAGTCAATGGAGCGGTGCCGCAACCTGAGGACCCACATTTCCGCAGGCTCCGCGGAGTCATCTCGCGCGGGCTGCTGCGAGACGGACACTTTCTTCCTTCACCACAACACTGTGAACAACCACGACCGATGTACCCGCACCTGCTGCTCCCGGACCTCCTTGCCTGCTGGTGCTGGTGGAGAACATGAAGTTGCTTTCTGACAAGACAGGGGGGATGCGTTGACTTCATCAGCTGAGTATGTGGCCCATGCAGGTCAATACGAGGTAGCGCCAACGGCCAACAACCAACAGGCATACGATGACTCCTCCGCAGCCTCATTGACGACAGAAAAAAGGAGCGGCGGAAAAAATCTCACGAACTGAGCGCGCGACACCTCCGAAACGCCGCTCATTGACAACCACCATCGCCTCCAGAAAATCGCCCCTCGACATACCAAAAATGAAGCTGCCGACTGGAAAGACCGTCCTCTTCTGGCACGCCAGCGTCAGCGTCGTTGTCGTTCGGGTTCTCTACATGCTCAGCATCATCACGTCACGATTCCAGTCCATCGAAGGCGTCGCCACCTTTTTGTTTGAGATCTTCCTTACCATCGTCGTCTACTGTTCCCTCGCGACCCTGCTCGCTTTCAAGGCCAACGAGGCTCAACGGTCGCCTGAGCCCGTCGTCGAAGTTCGTCGGGGCAATGTCCCAATATACGCTGTTGGGCGGAGAAGAGATCGCTTGCTCGTGCAGGCAGCATCGTGGATTTGGTCCTTTGCGCTCATCGGCAACGTGAGCATCTTTACCATCTTGGGCCTCGCCTCGGCCAGGAGGGAGACGTGGAAATTGAACGACATACCGGGGGTCTTCAAGCCACTGGTCTACATCTTCTCCCCACTGATCTTCACGTGCTTTCTCTCCAACTTCGGCACGGCCATTTACATTCGGTGCGTCTGGCCTAGGACGGCGGTGAAGTTGTTCAGCCGCGAAGCACCAAACGAGGTACCGCAGAACAGGCAACCTGGTGGCCTGCCGCCAGCGTATACTGCGCTGCCTGGCGGTCCAGTCGATGTGGAACTCGGAACGCTACCAGCTACGACAGCCAACGGCAATGGGGCACCGAAGCCGGTCGATGTTCTGGTGAGCTCGTGGTCTGGATTGTTCGCTGGGTCGCGGCTGCGGCTTTGAAGAACGACCACCGGAGGAGGAAGGCGATCGTGGAGTGGATGGACACAATTGGGACTTTTTGAATCTTGTTCCAAATGGGGGACTTGAGGTTCATGACGACAAGCCACTTGCCTGAGACTGGTCAATGGACTGTACAGGTTGATGGACGACGCTGGACCTCGTCCATTTGGCGCGCAGCTGTACCAGTATGTCGAGAAGCCTAGGTTGGTTGTTCGGTTCCCCCGAGCCTCCATCTTGGCGAAAATGTCCCTGAGGAGGTAGTACAAACAGCAATCAACGCCCATATCACCTAGGTGTAGTTGAGTAGTCAATCTGCTGAACAGAGGGGTCTGTTGGTCCGAAAGGCGTCTGGACGGAGTGTCCATGCTTGTCTTTGGCCTGGGAGGAGGTGGGACACTTTGCCAGTCGTCGGTAACAGTCGCGCCCATCCGCGATGGACTATAGCGGGCGGGTGTCGAGCTGCACGCTCCTTTGTCCTCGGCATGTGTAGCATATAATTTCGATCTGTGTTGGGTCATTTCCCTCTGATTCTCTGAAGTGCTTTCCCATTTTGGATCTTGCACTTTGTCGCTCCGCTGAGCTTGTCCCGCACCGATCACACCAAGGCAGCCGAAGACTTCATGATCACCCAAATGAAGAACACCCTCCGTGGCATGAGCAACAACAAGGCAAACATGGAGGTCATAACCGGCGCCGTCATCAAGAGGCGCGGCGCCGAGTGGACGATGCTCGTCTGGAAGGGAGTCGGTATGTTCGCCCCAAAGCGCGTTGCCTTCTGGATAAGGGAGTTTTTCATCAGCGCTGTACTCGGCTCCGACCTCGAGGTCGCTTGGACGATGAGCTCCGTTCGCAAATTCTTCCGCATGGAAAAGCTCCTCACCATGTACTGCATCACCGACGAGCATTACCGTCATGGCACATTCATCCCCGCCAGGAAGCAAGAGGCGGTCCTCAACCGCGTCGACCAGAATTTGAGGTGTGGACAGCCCAACGCTGTCTCTGTCCACAGAATTCTCGTTCGCATGGGAACTGTGCTGGAGCTGACTGGACGCGATATGCGCTGGAAATTTGCCTTCACACGCAGCGCCGATGAGCTTCTCCAGCGGGACCTGGAGCTGTATGACGACGATGACGCTCTCGAAGCGATTATTGGCCCGAGGGCTACCTGGGGCTACTCGTAGTCTGACTACGATCTGGCCGACATGAACAACCTGAACGACGACGAGATTCTGGACCTGTGAAGGACGGGGGAATGATGGAGGAATCACCGGCGCGGACTGTCTGTGACCGCGCCGGTATGAGTTTGGTGTTTGGTCGGTTCATCAGCGACGGAGTTGGAGGGCTTGTGTTTCCCTTGGGCTTTACTTTTGCTGTACATTACTCTAGCTCTCTCCCTCACACCACGGCACAGCGAGGTCTATGAAACGACTTTTCGTCCCTTTTTACTTGTGTCGGTATATTTTCTCGGTGTTCCGATCACAATGAGCCCGTAATCAGAGTGTCGCCAAATGCTGCCCGGGGCCTCCTGCAGGGGCGGCCCACCACCGAGCTAGTGGCGGAGCCCCTGAAAGCCGCTGTAACACCCCTAAACTATTCCTGCTTCCTCCCGCCTCAAAAAGCATCCAGGTTCAACTTGAAGTGGTCAGTTTCCGATCCGCCAACAAGATGACTCGGATGGGGGGTTCTCCGATCAATAATATGTTCCCATTGATGCACTCTGAAATCTCTGACTGAAGAGCTGGTCGGAATTCGTCTGCATTGATGTAGAGCCTCTGGCTGTACTCAGATATTTTGAGAGTCACTAATGGGTAACAAAGGCGAAGACAAGGTCTCATTATAAATACACGATACTCACTTCGTGGTGCCTAAAACCTTGGAAGTCCATGTTGATGTCTTTGTTAGCGAGCAGTTCATCTCTCCCACGTCCACTCTTCTGACTGATATTGCTCTTAGCCAAAGCCAGCGAAGCGCCGAGCGAAGCTGGCAATTTAATCGCCTTGTACTTACAGTCTTGCGCGCTACCATTGCGCCGGCCCGGCGGGGTGTCTTTCGCAAAAGCTGTTGTGTTGTGGGTTGAACTTCTCGAGGTGAGTGTGACGATGAGCCATCCTCGGCTCATCCTCAGGCATTCCGGGATCATACGACATAGGAACTTATTTTAGCACTCTCCCACAACCCGCCGGGCTGGCGCAATGGTAGCGCGCAAGACTGTAAGTACAAGGCGATTAAATTGCCAGAAATATGCTAACATGTAACAGTCTACCTGTGAAGGTTCATCTTGAGGCTGCGGGTTCGAGTCCCGCGTCTGGTACTTTTTTTTCTCTTCCCTTACTATCTACATACAAGGGAAAAGGTGGTATTTAAACATCGACATAGTTAGTCTAAGATTAATGAACTTTGTGCAACAAGTCCATGATTATAAGTGCCAGCATAGTAGGCAGGTGATACTGCCCCCGGAACAAGCCTGGGTTCCAAGTCTATACCGAGAGTCGAGGTGTGATCCTGTCGTTGCGTACCTGGACATCGGGGTCATAAATGCCTTCATTAGTGGTCCCGATGAAAATTTGAAACTCTTCAATTCCATTGACATAGACAGTCCTCGCTGGCTTCTTTATGAGAGAGTCGATTGTATCCCGAGGGCATGGAGGCCATGTGGTGGCAAGCCCTGCCACCAGCGAGGAATAGTAGGTGGCTCTCGGTTCAGTGCTTCCGCCCGCCCCGGCAACCAGCTCCAGCTCCGAGTGGGCACTGCCCCCTGTTGCCGCCAATTAGACGCGTGCGCGACGCTGCAAGTCAGGCATTTCCCGCGTCGTTCCACCAGCTACAGTGCTTGCGCAGCTCTGGGAGCTGGGAGCTCTCAGCGCAAGTGCCACTCCTCTGATGAAAGAGCTTCCTCGGGACCTTCCTCACACTCGAAACTCTACCACTTCCCACCTTTCGCACCCCCTTCCATTGCCCATCACCCCATCCATCTTCTACGACTTTTTACATCCTCAATCATCTCCTCCAACGCCGAGTCCTCCAACAGCGCCCGCATACCCTACCACCGAAACCCATTGCGATCACCCCGCGCAACCATGTCGGACGCTGTTGACCAGAAGCCGACCACGGTCGAGGAGATCGCTCCCGCCGTTGCGCAGCCCGAACAAGAGCAGCCTGTCGACACACCTTTGGACACGCCCGCCCCTACCGAACCCGAGGAAGATGCCAAGTCGAAAAGGGTGACTCTCGCGGATCTGTCTGCCAAGGGCACGCGCCTCTACGGCAACAAGCAGTACGACGACGCCGCCGACATCTTCGCCAAGGCCGCCGAGCTTCAGGCCGAGATCAACGGTGACGAGATCAACCCCGACAATGCCGAGATCCTCTTCCTCTACGGCCGCAGTCTGTTCAAGGTCGGCCAGAGCAAGAGCGACGTCCTTGGTGGCAAGGCCCCCGCCGAGTCCAAGGCCGAGAAGCCCAAGAAGAAGGCCCCTACCGAAGAGGCCAAGACGCACGCCGAAAAGGTTACACAGGAGGGCGTCGCTGCCATTGCGGAGGCCACACAGCCCGAGACCACCGAGAGCAAGAAGCCCCTGTTCCAGTTCGAGGGCGACGAGAACTTTGATCAATCCGACGAGGAGGAGGTAAGAAGTGGAACACGCCGGCGCCGGATGCCCTTGCTGATCATGCGTAGGGCGACGACGACGCCGACGAGGAGGAAGAGGAGGAGGCCGAGGATGACCTCCAGGTCGCCCACGACATCCTCGAGATTGCCCGCGTGTCATACGAGAAGCACCTTAAGCAGCTGAACACGGCCGACGAAGAATCATCCGACAAGGGCAAGGAGGTTTCGTCGGGCGACAATGCGATGATCCGCCACGTCAAGGAGCGTCTTGCCGACACACACGATCTCCTCGCCGAGATCCACCTCGAGAACGAGAAGTCCGATCTCCTTCCCAACACTGATTGAGCGATGCGGGTATGCTGACACGATGACAGCTTCCCTGCCGCGGCCCAGGACTCCCGAGCCTCGCTCAAGTTCAAGAAGGAGCTATACCCCCAAGAGTCCGAGATTCTCGCCGAGGCGCACTTCAAGCTCTCGCTCGCCCTCGAGTTTGCGTCTGTCACAACAACAAAGGAGGAGCAGGGCGCCGCTGGCGGCGAACAGGCGCCGTTCGATGAGGACCTGAGGAACGAGGCCATCTCCGAGCTCGAGGCTGCCATTGCCAGCACAAGGCTCAAGCTGCAGGCAAAGGAGGTCGAGCTTGCCGAGATGGCGAGCCCGGAGGAGAATGTTGCGACCAAGGCGTCCATCAGCGACGTCCGGGACATCATTGAGGATATGGAGCAACGTGTAGGTCCCTCAGGCCCCCGTCCTACGTGCCGTACTGACAGCTCCGCAGCTTAAGGAGATGAAGAAGCCCCCTGTTGACCTGCAAGCCACGCTCGAGGCCGCTACCGGCGGCGCGATGCAGGGCATCCTCGGATCTGTTCTCGGCGAGTCGGCTGCGCAGACCGAGGCGCGCATCGAGGAAGCCAAGAAGACTGCCACGGACCTGTCGGGCCTGGTCAGGAAGAAGAAGAAGGACGAGCCCACGACGTCTGAGGCCCCGGCCAACGGAGCCGATTCCAACGGCACCAAGCGTAAGGCGGAGGAGCCGGCCGATGAGGATGCGTCGAAGAAGGCCAAGATTGAGGAGACGGCGTAGGTCAGCGACACGTTTTGATGAGAGAGGACATTGTACTATAATCGCTCAGGGAATTTCGGCGGCGATCCGACACGGAAAGGGGGTATTGGACCGGGTTCTAGGACTGGAATCTGCTTGGCTTGCGAATACGATTTTTCTCAATGACCAGTGACTGACATTTGATGCCATGAGCCTTGTCGGCGAGGGTTGTGATGTTCTCGTGTGTCTTACGGTACGTACCTTTTGGGCGGTGGCCTGTCGAAACTTCACCGTCGCGACCCCTCCCCCGCCATGCCCACGTCCACCGGTGTGACCCCACCACGAATTTACCTTGAGTCACCCCGCCACCGACCGAAAACACCACCACGAGTACATCATCGCTGGCCCTCCGATTGCGCCTCCTCCCCGATAAATACCGAGCCGAATCGTCCGACGGCATTCGACAACCCTCAATCCCTTCAATACCCCCCGAAAACCACCCCCGCACCCGAACACCCAACATGCTCGACCGCCAGGACTTCATCAAGGAGCGCGGCGGCGACCCGGAAAAGATCCGCGAGTCGCAGCGCCGGCGCTTCGCCTCGGTCGAGCTCGTCGACGAGGTCATCGCGCTCTGGGAAGACCACCGCAAGACGGCATACTCTGCGACGCAGGTCGGCAGCGAGATCAACGCGACGCAGAAGCTGATTGGCGCCAAGAAGAAGGCAAAGGAGAACGCCGACGACCTGCTCAAGCAGAAGGACGAGCTCACCAAGCGGAAAAAGGAGCTCGAGGACGCGGCCGCCGAGAAGGAGGTCCTCCTCAACGCCAAGATCAAGTCGGTCGGCAACTACGTCCACGAATCGGTCCCCGTCTCGGACAATGAGGACAACAACGTCGTCGTCCGCGAGTGGAAGCCCGAGACGGGCCTCAAGGAGAAGACGGAGACGACCCTCAGCCACCACCAGGTCACCCACCGGCTGGGCGCCTATGATGGCGAGAGGGCTCTGAAGCTCGTCGGACACCGCGGATACTGCCTCACTGGATACGGTGTCTTCCTCAACCAGGCTCTGATCAACTATGGTCTTGAGTTCCTCTTCAACAAGGGCTACTCGCCCAACCAGCCGCCTTTCCTGATGGTATGTTGCCCCCTGTCTGCTGCGCTCGTGAATTGCACCGCTGACACCTTGTAGAACCGCTCCCAGATGGCCAAGACGGCCCAGCTCTCCGACTTTGACGAGGAGCTGTACAAGGTCACCGGCGACGGCGAGGACAAGTACCTGATCGCCACCGTGGGTAGTCCCGTGCCTCTGGATGACGACGATTGCTGACCCCATGTAGAGCGAGCAGCCCCTCTCCGGCCTGCACTCGGAGGAGTGGCTCCAGCCCGGCGACCTCCCCATCAGATACGCGGGATACTCGACCAACTTCAGGAAGGAGGCTGGCAGTGAGTGCACCAGAGAATCATGGTGTGGATAAATGCTGACAATACTCAGAGCACGGCAAGGAGGCTTGGTGAGAATATTTGAGGATCACCCCGAGGTAATGGCATGCTGACGTTTTATAGGGGCATTTTCCGCATTCACCAGTGAGTTATGCAACCGGACTTAGAAACCACATCATCGCTAACGCAGTGCCAGGTTCGAGAAGGTCGAGCAGTTCGTTCTCTGCAAGCCCGAGGAGTCTTTCGAGCAGTTCGACAAGATGATCGCCAACAGCGAGGAGTTCTGTATGTTCATGTCCGTCTTCATTTCTCCAGCTACGCTAACACATGGACAGACAAGTCTCTGGGCCTGCCCTACCGGTAAGTCCTTGTGTTCATGGGCCAAATTGTGAAACCTAACACCTCGTGTCCAGTGTCGTCGACATTGTTTCCGGCGCTTTGTAAGTATCCCTGAACACCCCCTCTCCAAACCAAGCTCACGATGACTAGCAACGACTCTGCTGCCAAGAAGCAGGATCTTGAGGCCTGGTTCCCCTTCCAGCAGGAGTACAAGGAGCTTGTCTCATGCTCCAACTGTAGGCACCCCCATTCCCTTGTCAAATCCTCCGCTGACACCCGTAGGCACTGACTACCAGACCCGTGAGCTCGAGATTCGCCACGGCGTCAAGAAGGCCAAGGAGGTATGTCGTCCCGGCACCATGTCCCGTCCACCACTGACCCCTCGACAGGCCCCCGGCAGCGGCCGCAAGGAATACGTCCACGCCCTGAACGCCGTATGTTCCACCTCTCGTCCGCTCCCAATGATGACATGCTGACCCTGGTAGACCCTCACCGCTACCGAGCGCACTCTGTGCTGCATCTTCGAGAACTACCAGACTGAGGAGGGTCTTGTCGTCCCCGAGGTGCTGAGGAAGTACATCCCCGGCCAGCCCGAGTTCCTGCCCTACATCAAGGACCTCCCCAAGGAGATGACCGTCGTTGCTGGCCAGGGCAAGAAGAAATGAACGGTGAATTGGGAGGAAGCATGTGGCAGCTTGGGCTTGGCAGACACATATCTCGCAAGTAGACCGAAAAGTAAAATGCCAGACGTGAACATTGTTCCTTTGTACAAGTGGCCGAAATTTGCCACTTCAGACTACAGGACACCCCCTTGACCCCCCCGGCATGGGACGCTCAAAGACTAGGAGATCACCTGATTGAAGACTCCCGACCTCTCTG